AAGAATTCAATTCAAATAACTTTACAGATAGTGAGTTATAATGATCTTAATCTTTTACTGAGAATGATTTTCAGTTAGGCAGTAAAAGTAATACTTGTAGGACATTAGGACATTTACTCTTTATGTAGGAGTAAAGATTAAAATTTTTAAATCTGTAAAGTTATAATGCAATAATATCGTTAAGGACCTTGAATTTTGTTGTAATAACGTCCATTTAAAACACAAGTTTTTTATCATTGATATCATTGTCCAGTTTTTAAGGAAAAGCTTATTAAGTGACTGAAATTTCTAGTATAATTTATTCAAACTGTCTGAATTACAAAGATTAATTCATTGAAATTGCTTTAACAATTTTTTTATGGATTAAAATTCGTCATAGTGAATATTTTTATATATATATCATGAACCATTATATATTCAATCAACATATTAATTTGTAGTGTTTGTAACAATAAATTATAGTATATCTTGTACTGATTGTGATTTAAATTTAATATGCTATTCTTTAGAAATATGTTACAGTAATTTAGGAATTAGTGCGGTCATAGAAATAACAATATATTCTCACATATAACCATAGAGTTCTCTTGTGAATTATTGATTTATGACTAAATTTATGACGCTTTTAAAAGTAAGAACGCTCTTAAGCGGGAATCTTTTATCGTAAATTACTGTATCTGCATATATGTTATTAATCATTTTAATCTAAAAAAGATTATAGTTTTTAATATTATTAGTAAAAAATATTATTAATTGTACGTATAATAAATATATGTATATACGATACAATCAGTTACCGAAAACGGACAATGAACGAAATTAATATACGTACAACTCGAAAAACAAAACTATTGAGTTTATAGAAATTATTTGAGATTAGAATACAATAATATGATAGAAAACATATTATTTTACATTTATGTAATAATTAATTATTAGAATTTTATATATTCCAATTATATACTTTTTAGTTGATTTTTGGTTCAATGAGTATATTTGTATGGACCTAGTGCGAGCCTAATGTACACATTATAAAAAATAATTATTCACACATTCTGAAGTAAAGCTTAAATGCAATATTTTTTTTTTGTAGACTAATATTTGTCTTTTTTATAAATTAAGCAGAAAATTATAATAGATTTAAGGTCAAATGGACACAAGCTTAGCATTCATATCTGAAGAAAAGTACCATAGAAAGTATATTGTTGTGAATACAATATCTAAGCTATCAAGAACCTTTAATATGCACCATATATATTAAGAAAAATTTGGTAAGAGATATCGATTAATTAATGAGAATATTATATTTGAGATACATATAAGCAAAGAAAAATTCAAAGTGCGCCCAAAATCGCAGAAAGGCATCACAATTACTATGTTTGAGAAAAATTTAATTTCACTTGTATATAATCTATTATTAATAATAAAAGCGATATTAAAGACAACAAAATCTTTTACGTATATTTTAGCTACTTTGTTAACGATATATGTATAGTATGTATATAATAGAGGTTACATTGAAAATATAACTAATGTAAAATTTTACATAACTCAACAAAAAACAAAACAATTTTTTTAGGGTTTTCATTAAAATTAACAGTTTGTATATTTGAATTAAAAAAGTGTAAATTTTAAATAATAATAAAATATTTGTTTCTCTATCAACTCATTAACTAAATATTTATTTCTTTGTTTTGAGTATAAGAGGGAAGTTCAGGCATTTTCAATTGTATTTTTGTATAAATTATTTTTCTTTTTGTATTTCCAATTTATATTGAAACAAAAAAACTAATAACCACTTAATCAATTTTTTTGTTTCAGACGTTCCAATGTTTGTCGGTGTTCCTTTTATATTCATAAATGTTTTTATTGTTTTTAACATATAATCTTGGTAAGTCATTTAAAAATATCACTTAAAAATAATTTCACAAAAATGTGCAGGCAAAAAATTGTAAATATATATAATATAATGTAATTTAATATAATATAATAAAATATAATATATCTTTTAAACAAATTCTTAACTATTAAATGGCCACCATTATGAATTTCATTCAGATCACGGTATTAAAGAATTTTTTTGAAGATTAATCATTTGCTTATGTTTGGTTTAGTATTCATATTTTTATTATTAGAAAAAAATTAATTTCAAAAAGATAGATTGGTTAAAATATGAACGTCAAATTCGAATTACTCTCTGAAAGACATAAATGGTTTATATAGAAATATCTATAAATGATATTAGTTGTATCTTTTTTTATATATATAGTTTAGAGTACTCTTAAGAGCAAAAAAGCAGTTCCATTCAAAAGCATCTTTTAGAAGAATTAAGTTTCATGAAATTTGGTTTAGGTTCTCAAAATTAATTGAAAACTTTATTTTTATTTAAATTTTTATTATGATTGTGGTTTATGTGAACTATTTAAAAATATATAAAAATTAAAATATATTTTTATTTTTTATAAAATGTATTGCAGTGTTATAAAAACATGTTTTAATTTTTATACATTTTTAAATTGTTCACATATACTTCAATCAATATAAAATAATAATTAAAAAGAGTGGACTTAAAAAAAATTGATAAATATTTTTTTTTTATATACATAAAATCATTTGAGATCTGTAATTGTTCAGCTGAATAAGGCTTTTGTTTATAAACGATACATGTATATGTTATATTTTATTTTTATGAACACAATTTCTGTGGCTCATTCAGTATCCAGTATTCAGTATTTTATGAAACAGTTCATAATGTCAAAGGTTTAAAACTCATATTTTTGTCCAATTCGTAGAGAGTCTAATATTTTTATTCATACTGTACATTTTGCCCCAAAGTACAAACGGCAAAGATTCGTAAATTTGCCGTATTCAACAATTATGTAGATACATTATTATTAACTATTCATTATTTTGTGAAATTAAATTAGTGCTTAGAAAATCATTTAATTTGTATATAAATTAATTTTTAAAAGTAATTTTATTTTAAAATATTTATAAATTCGCCAACATCAATAATGTTATACTGTGTAAGCGATATATGTATATATGCACAAATCAGTTAAATTCAAATTTAAGATTTATTTTTAGAACTCAATTTAAGATTTAAAATATTTTTTTTTTTTGTTTTAGGTTAAAAAAATTTCAATCTATCTGAGATTTAAAACATGGAGATTGAAGTTATTTTTGCTTCTTAATTGTCTGAGATTTCAGTATTTTTGAATTCAGACTTGTTCACAAACATTTGATTTGATTTGCATTTTAAACACAAAAATAATATATAATAGTTTTTATAACTTATAAATAATACTTTATAACATATTTTATTTAATTAGTATCTTCTAACTTGATGCTCAAAACTTATGGATTTGTTTGTACATTAGTTTAACAATTATGTCGCAAACAAGCTTAGATATTGTAATTTTTTTTTTAATTTTTCTATACCGTGGAAATTCATAATAGTTGCTTTAAACTACTAAATTATATATATAATTTCACTTCACATTGCATTTCGTCCCAAACAAAAGCGAATAATGAAAACAATTGTATTAGCTTATAACAAAATAAAATTTTAATTTGATTTTTTGTAGGTTGTATTTTATAATTTGTTTGTTTTAATTGCCGTTTATACACATACATATTTTACTCTGCATTAAAACTTAAATAGGTTATTTTTATTTCTATATTAATAAATGTGGATTTATTTGCTAGTTTTTATTTAAACTAGTTTTGATTATTTATTATATTGTTGTAAACATTTTGTACAATTATTTATGTTTCTGTTAGTGTTTGTACACAACGTGCACCTAGTTTTATGCTCGAGTTGGGCTTCTTTAATACTTAACTATTTCCGTAAAACTTACTTTTATATTATTTATGTTATTTCTTAATACAATTTTAATGGTATTATTATAAATTTCTGTTATATATATGTATATTCATATTCGTTTGTAATAGGTCCATTTCGGATATTTTTAGATAGCATGATATAATATATATATATATATATATAAACTTAAAACAAATGGTAAAATTGCCTAGTGCCTTAAAATTAAATAAAAATTACTTATATTTGCACAAACAAGAGATAAAATATTTTTTAACTATATTAAATAAAACTTGACAAAACTTAATAAAAAATTATTAAAATAAAAGATCATATTATTTTGTTTTAAAAACAATAAATGAAATTGAAAATAAATATTAAAAAAGGACTGTAAATTATATGGATAATGTAGTACAGAACAAACCAAAAAATCCAGTTTTCTGTTTTCTTCTTACTGTCAGGTCAACATGATTTTGTTTTTACAAAAAAAATATATATTTTGCATATTAAAGTAGCAAAAAATGTCTACATACATAATTCAATTTTTGAATTATTTAATATTATTATTGCATTTGTTATTTACAAATGAAAATAGTAGCTCACAAATTGCAGCTCTTGCAGCAACATTAATTCTAACATTGTAGAACCAGAACTTGTGGATTGTCGCTATTTGCTATTTGTTGTATAGTTGCTGTTGTTGTTGTTGAAAGTTGTGGCATGCGAGCGTTTTGTAAGAATATTTGTGGTTGCGGCGATTGAATAGCTATCGTCAGCGGTTGCCCAACTACTTTGGCAGTAGCATTTACTGATTTTTGTGTATTCTTATGTGGTGCTATATTGCAGTTGTTGCTATCACTAGTACTGGCCACGGCACCATTCTTATTATTTGCTGGTGTAACAATTACTGATGTTGCTACTGCTGCTGCTGTAAGTGTCGACACAGTCGACATAGTCGATGCTGCTGATGCTGCTGATGTTGTAGCAGAAGTTACTGTTGCTGTTGCATGTTGTTTTGACTTCGTAGTGGTAATATTTCTATTGTTATTACAAATTCGTTTATTGGCTTTTGCAGTTACTGTGGCGGTTGAATTTGCTATAGCTTTAGTTGTTATGTTTGAGTTACTATGCGCTGTTGCATTCATATTCGTTGTAGCTGATGTTGTTATCGCCGCCGTTTCCGCCGACGACTTTGGCCTTTTTCAGTCGCCGAAGCGGCTGCATGCCTTTTTCCATCTGCACTGAGTGCACCACTGTTCTTTACGTTCCATACCATAGACTTTGCGACATTTTTTATTTTCACCACGAGTGCGTCGGTTCGGTGAGTTTGGTGTTTGCCTTGCTGTGGTAACAGCATGTTGTACAATAGTATGCTGTTGGTGGATTAATTGAGATGTGTTGCTTTGATTCGCGGTAGCAATAATGTTGTTGGCAGTTGTTGTTGGCGACTGTTGTTGACTATTAATGCTACGAATATTGTGTTGATAATTGGGAGTAATTGTAATTGATGACAATTGTTGTTGCTGTTGCTGTGGCTGCTGCTGATGGCTATGATTTACACTATGATGTGTTGTCACTGTAATATTTTGCTGTGATAGCTGATGTAGCACATTACTATTGCTATTTTGTATGATCAGATTGTTATTACTGTTACTGTTGGAGTTACTTTTATTGTTTGGACTGTTGCTACTGTAATTATGATGATGATGATGATGGACGTAATTTGGTGTTGGATATGGCGCTGTCGATTGGGACGGACGTGGTGACGAACGCGAATGTTTTATCAATGGACTATGTTGCTGTGGTTGTGACTGTTGATTGTATTGTTGTATAGTGCTGTGTGATATAGTTGATGTTGCAGCTGCTTGTACGCTAGCTGATGGGATAGATGACCATGTGTAATTGTGATGATCCAATGGTGATGTAGATATATTACTGTAGCTATTTTGATTTTGTTGGTTTTGGTTGTGATTAGTGCCAATATGTTGCGATTTTATATTATTGTGATGCTGCTGTTGCTGGCACATATTACCGACACGTCCTTGCCTAAAAAAAATTTTTTAATTTCGATTAAATAAGAATTTATAATATAAAACTTACTTGAAATTTCCAACAATTTGTCTTTGGTATTCTGGGTCTTCATGTGGAGGGCGCGCCATGTCACGGTGGCTTAGTGTGGGTGGGGATGTTGGACTAAGTGTTTTAGCATTATCGTCGTCAAGATCGTCAGCTTCATCCTCAATTTCAGTGTAATAAAATTCTTCTTCATGATCACTGTCATAGTCAGCTGATCTTCGTGGTTTTTTGCTAAAAATATGTAAATTTATTTTATTTATGTTAAGTCTGTATATAAAGAAATTTCTAATTTCATAAAAAGCATTTATAAATATACATATATTTTTTTATATAAAAGAAAATGTTTAATTTTTTTATTTAATGAATCCCCTGTTTACAAAATTGAAATTTATACCAATTATAATATAATATTGAATTTGTTTGGTAAAATATTTTTCTATTGTGTTGCTAACGTAATTAATTATACGAATTTACTAAAAAAATTGTATTAAATAACATTTCATAAAACTCAACAAATATTTCAATAACAAATATTTTCAATATTATGCAAAATTAATTTACATGATAAAATTCGTACACGTAGTGTGTGTTCAGTGAATGGTATAATTCACATGCATATGTTTTTATTGGAAAGTAGCTTATTCCACGAGTGAACTATGCGAAATATTTGTATGGATGTTGTCCACAATGAAGTGTGCAAAATATTTCATTCGTTCGCGTGGTGGTGTTAAAATTTTCAATATTTGTCGTGAATTTTATTTTTTATAAATTAGTGCAAGTAAATAATATATTTAAATACTTTAATAAAGTGAATTAAAGCTTAATATTTCTAAAGCAAAAGGGTATCCTATTATTAGTTTGTTTATAGCACGAAATATTAGCTACAATTAATTCTTCCGTACTAGAAAATTCAATTAAATTTTCCTTTGTTTCTGTTTTGTGAATGCTGTTTGAGCGTTCACTTTAACATAATTGGTTGTGAGCTGGATATCTGGATATTGCTTAGCAAGAAAAAAAGAAATGAACTAATATCACCTAACTTATATTCGAATTTTTATTTTTAGTTGAAACCAACGTAAGCTTATTATATACATTAGATATTTAAAGATTATAAACCTAGACAATAATATGAAAATGTCGAACAATGCGGACAATGCAATTGACGATGTTACCACCACGGTGAATATAAACAGTAGCAATTTTATGAATAGCCACTTAAAAAATTGGCTGCCTCCGGCTAATGCGAATATGCTCGGCACCTGCAGTTTTAATAACGTCATTTTTAAAAAATTTAATAATGCGACTTTCGAGTTTCAGCCAAAATATAAGGGGACTTGTACGGTTACCTGTCAGCACGATAGTGTTGAAGATATTATTGTTATAAGAATCGCTAGTGGTAAGTATAGAGAAGCATAGGCTTTCTTTAAATATTTTTTATATAATAAAAATTCAAAGATATTGAAATAAAAATACGTGTGTGGCTGTGTATTGGTAATTCAATACGTCTCTCAAGGACACTTGCAGTCACTGCCTATTAAGTGTAGTTGCACTACTACTTTCTCGGTTACTGCTTGCATTCCAACAACAGAGCACACATTGCAGTAAAATACAAAATTGTTTTTTGATTAAAGCTCGTTTTATGTAAAATGCAATTTAAAGATTATATAAAAGTCCACACTAGCTTTTATCAAAATGAATATACATAAATATAATATAATTTGTTTTAATCTAATCAATGTATATTTCAGATACTGATACGTCTATTACATTGAAGGAATATAAGCTAAGCCCTGATAATGACACTTCCCGGGTAGGAGCTACTTCATATAATCTAAGGTTTGATTATGAAACCGTAATGTTGTGCTTTTCATCCGAAACCGGTAAAGTACATATATTTTTTTAAAATACTAACTATTACTAACCTAAGGCTTTAAATAGACCAATCAAGTTTTCGTAAAATTATTGAACTTGTACGACGTATTCCTCCTAAGTCGGTATTTGCACAACGCACCGAAGAGTCTTCCGCTTCACAGTATTTCCAATTTTATGGCTACTTAAGTCAACAACAAAACATGATGCAAGATTATGTGCGCACAAGCACGTACCAGCGTGCGGTACTTGGAAATAATGTGGACTTTAATGTAAGATCATATACCATTGTACCATAGTTGTACTAAACTATATATTTACAATTATGTTTAAACATTTAGAATAAAGTAATACTTGACGTTGGTGCTGGATCAGGCATTCTATCATTTTTTGCTCTACAAGCTGGTGCTGCTAAAGTTTATGCAATTGAAGCATCGAATATGGCTCAGTATGCTCAGCAATTGGTGGAGTCGAACAATGTAGAAGAGAAAATTATGGTCATTCCAGGTAAAATAGAAGAAATTGAACTGCCTGAGAAAGTTGATGTTATTATTTCGGAGCCGATGGGGTATATGCTTTACAATGAGCGTATGTTAGAAACATATCTACATGCTCGGAAATGGTTAAAGCCTAACGGTAAAATGTTTCCCACTCATGGTGACTTACATGTGGCACCATTTTCGGATGAATCATTATATTCAGAACAATATAATAAAGCGAATTTTTGGTATCAATCATCTTTTCACGGTGTGGATTTAACTACACTACATAAAGAAGGCATGAAAGAATATTTTAGGCAGCCCATAGTTGACACATTTGATATTAGAATATGTTTGGCAAAGTCAGTTAAACATGTGTGTGATTTCCTAAGAGATAATGAAAATGATCTTCACAATATTGGTAATGTATAATTTAGGATTGTGCGAGAATAACAAAATAAGGTTAACAAATATTCAATGTAATTTCAGATATTCCATTAGAGTTTCATATACTCCAAACTGCCATATGTCATGGTCTTGCATTTTGGTTTGATGTAGAATTTTGTGGTTCTTCACAGCAGGTTTGGCTATCAACTTCACCCACTGCTCCTCTAACTCATTGGTATCAAGTGCGTTGCCTATTGCCAGTTCCAATTTTTGTTAAGCAAGGTCAAGTATTAAAGGGTCAAGTTGTACTAGAAGCAAATCGCAGGCAATCCTACGATGTAACCATTGACTTAACTGTTGAAAATACGAATATATCCTCAAGTAATACACTTGATTTGAAAAATCCTTACTTCAGATATACTGGAGCGCCTGTACAACCGCCTCCAGGTACTAGTGCTCAGAGCCCTTCGGAACAGTACTGGTCTCAATTAGATACTCAACAAGGTAAGTAAAAAAAATACTATTTGTACGTTGAATAATATTTAACGTTAATATTTAGATACCAATATGATAAATGGAATAACGGTCAATGGTATTAGCGATAATACGATGGAAATAACACATACGCTTATAAATAACCATAATTAGATAACCTAAGAAATTTTGATAAGTCAATTGAAAAGAATATTCATTTTCGAAAAATAACTTAGCCTATATAAATGTTACCACCAATTTCTCATTTGATTTTATGACATTTATAGATATATTTTATTTAATTTACAATAGACTATCAATAAAGATATAATTGCTTTATTGCAATGAATATTTGATTTTATTAAATATAAAATTAAATTTAAGTTTATTTAAATCAACGATTTGAAGAAAATATTAAACATTTTTAGCATCAATAATCCTAATAATAAAGTTTAAAAATGTTTTATATAAGTTCGTCCATATTTTAATAATTTAAAATTCATCAAGAATTTAAAATCAAGCATTTTTAATAATTTAATAATATCAATTTTTTACAAGTCATCCTAAATATTGAGTTCTATTTTTGATATTTTTTATAAGTTATTTAAATAAAGTAGAAACTAAGTAGCATAGCTTATAAAATATCACGTATTTGGGATTAATTATATAAATAATAATATTAAATTACAATCAAGAATGTGTTGTATGTAGTATTATTAATAATGAATGTAGTTAAGTGAAAAATATGACAAATTTCAAAAACACCGATTTTTGAGATAATATATTTTAATTTTTACTATTTAAACACATTTATTGTCAATTCAAGAAATATAAAAAAAAAATTTTTTTGTTTAGGATTAATGAAAATTTGTATTCTCATAACAAAATATGTTATTGTCTCAAAAACTAAGCATAAAGAAACTCTTAAGCTTTGTAACATCTGTTGTAAGCTGTTACTTTAGTAGTTTATATTAAACCATTAATTATTTAGATTTTGTTAGTAGTATAGTTTTAAAGAGCATACGAAAATTCTAAACTGCAATTTTGTAATATACAAATATATATACAATACTTATGCCAAGTTCTATGTTTATAACGTATAAATACAACATACTTTAGTAACAGAAATATAATACAAATATATTCAAATTTAAGAATTTTATTTAAATTGTATTTGTGCAGAGTTGATCAATAAAACACTGTATACAAATTAAAATAATATTTATTTAATCATTAAATATTGTCTGAAAACTATTAAGAAACTAAACCCTTTATGTAAATTACAGCGTTTTGAACAAATACGTACTTTTTAGTAAAGTAGAAGATAAGCTGCATTAAGGTAAGCTGCGGTAGTAATAGAGAATACTTTAACATGAGGTTCGCTGATATATAAAAGAATTGAATGTTGTTAAAAAAATATTATTTTTTAAAAGGCTTATCCTCATTTATTAATATGTGGACTCTGTTGCATGTCGAATGTTCTTAATAAATTATTCAGTAATGGATACTAATAACCTTAATGAATCTGCACTATTACTCTGTAAATGTAAATTGACCTTGTCCTAGAAATCAAAGCTTATGGTACCATTTAAGCTCAGAACAATCTTGTTAAAGCAATTGTTAGAGAAAATAATAGAAAAAAATATGGAATGCTTAACTATTTTGTATAGTTAATAAGTACTTATAACGTATTCACAGTCAAATGACTTGCTTGCGTTATTATTAACATACTTATATGTATGATAAACTTAGAATTCAAAGATTGCTTTATGTATGTGTATTTGAAATACAAAAATGTTTACTTACCCAAGGTGTGTGCTTCGTATGTGACGTTCAATCTTTTGCAGAGTGTGCTCGGAAAAATTACACCCTTTCCAGGTACATAAGAATCTCGGTCTAATCCCCTGAAATTAAAAATAAATTGAAATGATTATTATTGAGTTAAATATTTTGTTTTGTTTTGGAATAAGTATGGTAGTTAGTATGGCAAATATAAAAACATTTATATATACATATATTAAAAATTAAGAATTGCTAGAATAAATTTGGATTTAGTTTGTTTGGATTTAATGAAAAGCTTACATTGTGATTGCGTCTTAAAATGTGACGATTATTGTAATTTTTCATTACGCGATTTAACCGATGGCGGTAAATAGTGGCAGCAGCGTTAAGGAACACTGGTGCTCTGGTTTGTAACTGTACCGGTACGAAGCCGGTGATAGTTGTACTTACAGAAACAATTGAAAACTTCACGATGTACTATAAAATGAAACGAGTAAAACGAGTTCACACTACATAACCAACGAACCAACGAACGAACGAACGAAATCTTGGCGAGCTGCACAACATGGCGTATGATAAACCACACATTTCAGAAAACACAGTGCATTGTGCAGTGTGCAGCGTAGAGTGTACAGTATTTTGTATGTTAGGTTTGTACGTAAGAGCTTAACATTGTAAATTCATCCTTGTACCAGAAAATATGACATCGAAGTAGTAAATAAAAAATAAGAATTGGGACAAGTACATTAGTTGACTAGGTAGAATGCAAAAATTCGAGGTCAATATCGTTACTGCCCTAATAGCTGCTGGTGTAGCATAAGCATAGCGGTAGTAGAAAGGCGGTTGTAGTTATAATAGTTCCTCACATTTACTATAAAATGATATATAAATCGTTGTGTTAGGTACTTTAAAGTATTAGTCGGTGAACAAATTCAATTAAATTGTGATATCAATACAATAATAGAAACATTTTTATATAAACTTTTTATAGCTTAATTTTAATTAAATATTATTAGTAATACAAACCGATTTTAAGTATAAGTCATGGTCCTTCACATCTCTTTTTCTGTTGTTAATTTTGTAACGCACTTGCAAATGGGTTAGGAGCATTTGTTCATCTGAAAAGATGCGTTATTTCGGGATGTAAGCCCGACCGCACGTAGTCTAACATTTTCATTTCTCATATAAAACGATTATAGACGAATTAATTTTGGTAAAATTGAATAATATACAAAATTATTGTTTTTAAAAACAATACCAAATAACTTATTTTGATTTCATCATGTATTTCAAGAAATACATTTTTTACGACACTATCTTTATTCAAGCTTCTTACTATTTTTTAAAATATATTTTCTAAAAAATTATTTTCTTTAAAATTATAGTGGAAAAAAGCAAGTGGATGAAGAAGGTACACATAAAATAGTAATATTTTGGAGTGTTAGAATACAAAATGCTTCGGCTAGAGAGATGTTTGGTGCGGTGCCCGCTGATGAACGCAATAGAGGACGTCCGCATCTTCGGTGAAGAATCGGGTGACCAATGATATGAAGGAACTCTGTACTACCTAGTGATGACAATAAGCCACTGATGGGCTAGATGGCGAAGGGTACTGGGTGTGACCAAGGATGACTTATGCCTGTAATGGCCAACTCAATAAGTAAGTAAAGACACAAATATCAAATCAATCACTTTTCGAGTTAATATAATGATTTAAGATGTTATGAAAATTACTAGAAAACAAAGTAGTTCTAAGAGAACATTAAAAATTGGAATAAAGATAAATAGTTTTTGTTGTTGTTGTAGCCTGCAAGTTGTGTAATCCTCCCTTTGGGAGTGCTGAATGGCATTTGGTCGTCCAAGAAGTCTCCGGGACGTAGACTTCTTCTTCCTTCGAAACTACTAACTAACGGTGTATAGTAAGTGGTACGAAACTATTTGGTTTTTGGATGAGTTTTAATTTAGTTATTGTGTGATGTTTTATTGCTTTCATTTAAATTATTTTTAATGAAATTAATTTCTTTTCATTTAATTCTTTTTGATAAAAATTATCGTTCAAAAGTAATGTTTTTATATTTATTTATGTGAAATTCCTTTCAATATATGTATGCACATATATATTAAAGTGGGTTAGAGATGAAAAGTGAATAGCTTTTTGGAGCAGATATGAAATTAGGTCAATTGCACACAACATGAAACTATCTATTTGGCTCCTTGCAAAAACCATTTTAATAGCACAGGGCAAAAATATTTTTGCTGAGTATAGTAAATGTCTGCCAGAGTACATGCTGCCAGGGTATATGCTTCCAAATTCTGTATTTATTATGTTTTTATATAGATGGGGAAGAGAGTTATGTGGTTTGTTAAGAGTAAAAATTGTAAGAGAAAGTGAGAAGAGAAATTCAATTCATTTATTATTTTTGACATAAGTTGTTTTTAATTGAAATTTACGTTGTTTTCTCTTTAGAAAAATTGGTAAAATTAAAAATCATAGATATTTTCGAAAGCTTTCATTAATAATTTTTTTCTTATAATTAAATATTTTAGTAACTTGCTATATCATAATGGTCATATATAAATAAAATGATTATTAAATAAAAAATATTTCTTTTTTAAAAATTTTTTGTTATTAAGTTTAAATATTGTTTATTTTTACTTTTATGATAAAAAATATCTCTTTTTTGTCCTATTTTAATTAATTATTAAAAATAATATATATATTATAATAGTCATATATAAATAAAATGATTATTAAATAAAAAATTGATTTAATTTTTAACAATGTTTTTAAAATTAAATTTAAATATTGTAATTTTGTATAATGTAGGTTAGGTTACTGGGGCCGTCCGAAGACTCACTTAGACCATGAGGTCCATTGCGATACCCTAAAAAATTTGACACCTGTCCCTATAACCATTTGGTATTGGCCATAAAGTCATTGATACGAGCTATGGAAATAGAATCTAGCTCTCTTAGTGAATTGAAAAAGTGTGACCCTAAGTAGGAGAGTCTATGTCTTGCGAAAGCTGGACACTGTAGCAGAAGGTGTGTTGGTGATTCCTCTTCATCATCCTCCATGCAATGTCTACAATGTAAGGAGGTCTTGATATTGAGCCTCACGGCATGTTTTCCCAACGGGCAGTGTCCCGTAATTATTCCCACTATCTTGAATATATTTGCTCGGGATAGGTTAATTAATTCCCCCGATCTTTTCTTATTAATTTCTGGCCGAAATTCCTTGGTGTTTATGCAGTTGGTCACTGTTGACCATCTTCTTTTAAAAAAGTGTGGTATACCCACACTTTCTTTTCCCAGAATAATTTGTGCTGTCGTACCATGTCTTGCTAGTTCATCTGCTATACAGTTGCCGTGGATGTCCCTATGTCCAGGGACCCAAATCATTCGTATCCGAAAATATTGAATATTAAATATTCATTACTTATCACCATAAGTGATGTAAGACAATTCAGTACTAACCTCGAGTTAATGGTCGACGAGTTTAAAGATTTTATAGCTGCCTGGCTTTCAGTAAATATGTTTATTAAGTTAACGGAGGAAACATTGTGTTTCAGCCAATCTGAAAATTCCAATATAGCAGATACTTCAGCTTGAAAAACGCTGCAGTGATCTGGTAGCCTGAAACTCATACTGAGATCTAGTTCAGGAAGGTATACTCCTCCTCCTACTTGTCCGTCTAACTTTGTGCCATCTGTAAAGAAGTTAAGGCGATTATCACTTTTTACAGAATAGAGTTTCCAGGCTTCCCTAGAAGGAATTAATAATTCAAGATTTCTGTCCACAATTGTGATCGTAGTACAGTAATCTGTTATATCCGCAATGAAATCAATTTCTCTGAGGGTGGGATCATGCATCCATCTACCACTTCTTCCAATTCCTAGTTCTGTTATCCGTAAAGCTGCCCCAGCTACCTCGCCGTTCGCAGCGAAGTCGATAGATAAAACACTGAAGATAACATTCAGGGCAAGTGACGGCGTTGATTTCAACGCTCCGCTTAGAGTCATCTTAAAGTTATCTTGTATAATTTAAAGATTATTAAATTTATTTGATTTAAATTTATTCTGGTAAATCGTAATTATTTAACCCTTTTGAATTTTTAATAATGTTTATGAATTAATTTAATTATTTATCAAAAAGTTGTGTCTACATACATTTTTTCAATTTTAAGTCCCATTCACATTAAAACTAGAACGATTTGTAGAAATCGCTTATGTGAGTGAAGAGTATACAATGAAGTATAGCACTGATCTAGAGTATAATACTTTATGTGACAGCTTTAAACTTAATCGTTGCTGTTGTTATAATTGATGGTAACACTTTCTCAGCCAGGTAGTCACTACAAGAAAGCATAGTATATTGAAGGAAAATCTGGAGTGAAGACAAAGGGATTTATTACATTAAATGAACACTAAGATAAAGTACTCTAACCTTATACGATACAATTCTGTATCAGCTGTGGGAAAATTTGAGTAGATGGATAACAATGTGCATTGTACTGCTTAAGTATATTAATAAAATTTTATTCAAATATATCATGTAAACTAAAATCTTCGAAAGATATTCAAAGTTTGTATAGTTTTGTTTTTGTATATCCACTATTGTAGCTCACCTAAAAAAACAATCATAAATTTGTAAATATTTAGCTAAATATTTTAGGCTATTGCTATTAAAAATAGCAGAAGGGTTGTTGGGTATTGAAATGAATAAATATTAGATTAAAATTAAGGTTTTTTAGCAAACTTTTAGGCATCACTCAAAATCCTTCTTAATTTTATACAGTGAATCCCCGAAAGAATAAGTAAACTTTAAGTTTTCATGTGGAAAAAAAAGAAACCGGGATATGTTAGGTAAAAATTAGTTCACAAAGAATGTTTCTCTGGTATAAAAAACAAAGAAATAACAAATCAATATATAATAAATAGTTGAATATATAAGGATTTATGAAAGAAGCAACTTTAAATAAATTTAGCATTATAATTAAGACAACATGTTGTAATTATGATTTTACATATTGTAATTATTACTTCAGATTAGAAGCGATAATGTTTATATTATTAATGTTAATAAAACATGTATTATATCTATTTGTATCTATTTTTGTGTA